CTGAAAAGGAAATAATAAGGTGGGATGCCGTGAGCATGTGTTGAGGCAGCCTAAGGAAAGCTTTTTTGTACATCAGTCTCGTGGAAGAACAAAGTCCAGCTTTTTGAGTGATTTTTGAGAGTGGGAATTTGGTATGGTTTGTACTAGAAAGAATGTATAGCTCTGCTTAAAGCCATAAGGTGAGGGGTGGAGGAGCACTTCAATTTAGGCTGCTTTTCCTTTTCACTTTTCCTAGACCTTCTTCCTTTCTTGCCATTTCCCCTTTCCCCTCCTTTTCTCCCTTCCCCTTTCCTTCCATCCCCTTCATTTTACTTCTCTAGTTAGTAAATTAAATAGTTACATAATTAGTGAACAACTTCTTTGTACCAGGCTTTGGTTAAATTATTATATAATGTTGAATAAGACAAGGTTCCATATAGTTACAATAAGGCCACCCTTCTTATGAGTACTTATTTTTTTTGTTAAGTAAGTAAAGTTTCATAAGAAGTAAGATTTCATAAGAAATCATATGACTTCTGTGACCCACATTGGCGCTGAAGTAGTATCAGTTTTAAGATTCTCATCCCTATCTGTCTGGCTGCCCTATGCCATATAATGTGTTCAGATATACCAGGTCATTATAACCCTGAGGGTGGTTGACCCATTCTAGTGAGACTTACATCACAGTCTGACGTCCATGTTGTGGGAGCTCTGACCATCTGTTTTTTATGTGATATAAAATAAAATAGCTCTTTCCACTTAGTCCCATTCTCCTATAGCCAGGAGAATCTGGGTCTGGCTTTGCATTGAAATAGCTGTGTCATTATGAAGAAAGTTACTTAATCAATCTATTACAGTTAGATTTGACTTGAGAGTCCACTTACTGTGCTAATGGGAACTTTGGATCAAAGAGAGTGATTTTACAGAGGTTACACAGAATGTTAGTGGTAAACTGACTCTGTATTTTCTTTGTGTTCTTACTACTATATGATGCTACCTTTACTATCATAAGAGACTATGATGAGGAACAGATGAAACATATCAATAGGACTTGATAGGCATAAAATATTACAAGGAAAATTATTTCCACTTGCTTCCTGTTGTCAGGAGGCACTATCCTTTCTTGGTTCTTGAACATCTTGGAAGCAGGGGTCAGTTTTTATGCCTATGTGTCCCTGTGCTCAAAGCCACACTGATGTATGTGTATAGGTGTGAGGACATACTCATAAATTGAGACCCTTGAAATTCTTTCCGTTACTTACGTAGGGTATACATGGTTATGTTGATTTTCTAATAATAAAAATTATATACTTATATTCAGACCAGGGATTTATTATATTCATTACAAGACATTTTCTGACTGATATCTTGGGAAGCGTATTAAATTGATTAATTTTTGGATAAAGGGAAGCACTCGTTGATGATTTTAACATTCTTTTCTTTTTGTGATTTAACTTTAGGTAGTTGTCAGTGACAAATTTTAAGGTTTAATAAGGAGCTGGGATTTCCCTAGAATCAAATCTCACTTTTATACTTACTAGCTTGCATGACCTTGGGCAGTTTTTTATTTTAAGCTTCTCTGTGGCTTGGTTTCTCTCTTGCTAAACTAGGAATAATTGTGATTAAGGTAAAATTGAATACAAGACCAGGGACTCATTTACTCCCCACAACAGCCACATAGGTGAGGAAATTAAGGCATTTGGTGATTACCCAACTAATAAATAGTAAAGGTGAGATTTGCACTCAGTCTAACTCCAGAGTTCATACTTTTGGGGCACTATGCTGTACTAAGTTCTTGATTACTTCATAAAATGTTCTGCGAAATAAATGAGATAGTATTTAGAATGTTTGGTACAGTTTTGGTTCTCAAAGCTTTTTGAATTTTGGAGTTGTGGAAAAGGTTTTGTGGACCTAGAGATTAAGGAAAATTATAAATAGATAGTTGTTCTTAGTTCTAAACAGTTCTGATAGCGTGTTAGAAATGAAAGAATCACAGATATAATGGATCAGCATCTGCATTTTAAGAGTCTGTATTTAAGGTCCTTAAAGTTTGAGAAGCACTAGAGTAGATGATTTTGAAAATTTCTTCCATTGCCTAGTTGATAAGTCCATGAGTTTAGGGAATCACATAGCATGGGTATTTTGGTGTTGATTATTGTATTTAGAGGAGAAAATGATAATATATCAAGTATTATTTTAATGTAAATCACTGTGATAGAGGTCTGTTTCTATTTTTTGGCTTCCATGGTAGGTCATTTCTTGAGGTAATTAATACTTATTTGAATTTGTAAAAAGTTTCTGATGTACAGAATTATCCTAAATTTTATCATCTTAGGAAATAATTAGAACTCAAGATTTTTATATGGTATAAGATTAGTTGTTTTTCTTAATCTCACCAAATAATAACATAATAATATCAACCAATTACATTATATCTGGGAACACTTGGAATAACATGAAACTTTCTAGTTTTGGACAATTCACTATTCTGGTGTTTCCATGAACAGTTTAAAATTTGACATTAACTATAAATGAGCCCCTGACTTGCTTGATTTGACATGCTTAATTTTATTAGTCTCTGGAATATAAAAATTTCTTTCACAATTAAAGGGTCTTCTCTTGTAGAATTTTAAAACTATGACAGTAATGTCTATTTTGTTCACCGTTAAGTCACTAGTGCCTGGCACATTGTGATAGATATTGAAAAGTGTTTGTAGAATGAATAATAATTTATTTTTTTGATCATTTTGCTACCATTTTCAAATGAGAAGAGACAAGATTCTGAAAACTTATGTTTTAGACATTCGAGCATCTACCACGTTAACTAACTGCTGCATTAAACGATCTTCCCCATATTAACTAACTGTGATTGTTCTTTGAAAATTTTTTTAATTGTGAGATGTATGATTCATATAGAAGAAATATTACATTTATTCAGTTTAATGCAAACAGTTGATTAAGAAATAGAACCCTACTGAATATTTGAGAAGCCTCCTGTGGGTTGTCCTCCAATTGCATGCTTCCTCTCTTTATCTACAGAGATAGCCAGTTTGCTTCGTTTCATTTTAAAACCTCTTAAAATATCCAAGCAGTAAGTTGTTTAGTTTTGACAAACTGGCTAGCAAGCATAAATCTAACATTGTAAAGAAAGAATAATATTGTAAATATTAGGCCAGATCTCAATGGAGAAGGTAGATTGATTAAAGTATTTGGGTCATAGTCTGGTTTCAGCTTTCCTGAGAGTGTATGAGAACTCTTTGCAGGGAATTCAGTGGGTAAGGTTTTGAGTGAATCTTGGGAAATAGCATCTGCTTTCCATAGTTGGGCCTCTGGCTGTACTGTAGTGTGGATCAGATACTGGATGTTCAGCAGAAGGATTGGACTGCTTTTGTATTTTAAATCCCCATGGTTTACTTTCAGCTCTTAGAAGTCAGAGACCACTTCTGTAGGTGAAATAGTTTCCCCAGCTGATTCAGGGAGGAAATCATGAGGTCAGAGCAGAAACTTCATCAGTGGGTGTTCTGTCCTCTGGTTAAAAAGATAATAGTGGCCAGAATGAGGAAAAAGGATAATAAATACAAACAAACAAGATTGAAGTAGCCTTATATAGAAGAAGAAATGTTTAAAATTTCCACAGAGTGACATTAAAGAGGATATGAATAAATGGAAAAACATTACTTGGGGCAGGAAGACTCATTATTATAAATTATACTTAAATAAATCTTTTCTAAGATTTCTGTTCATATGTCATCTAGCTGAAAGCTTCTTATATAGTCCTATATATATAACTTATATAGCAATCATATGTAATTGCTTTATTTTTCTCCATAGCACTTTTCCCTGGCTGATATAACTGTACATTTATTCATTACTTGTTTTTTCCCCTTCTGGAATGTAAACTTACGCAAATGTGTAAATTTATGAGAGTATGCTTATCGCTCTCTTTTCTAGAAAGTAGCCTTATGAGGATATGTTTTATTCCTTGTGGTTTCCCCAAGCACCTTCAGCTTATAGCACATAAGAAACATTCATTGACTGAGGAATGAATGAATAAATAAAACTGTTCTTTCTCTCATAATCCATAGAACTTACTGTCTATTCCAGTTTTTTGGTCATTAATTTTGTTCACTTTAGCATCTTATAATGCTTTCTATTATTTTCTTTTGGTTCAGTGTCTAATTGTTTCATTCCTGTAAGACATTCTTCTCTGTGCTCCTTGATGGCAGGAATGGGACAACTGCATCCTTTGTAGACCTCACAGTGCAAGGCAAATGCATGTAGGAACTTACTGAATTGAATACGTTTATTTATTCGTAAGGACTTAAATTGCTAAAATCCAGTTTGCCTTCAACAAAAGGAGTATTTTAAATATATAATACAGTATAATTCTAAACAAAACAGGGGTTTTTGTTTATTTTTAAGGATTGAGAATTTTGGAAATGTTTTTTGAGCTCATGGTATATTTTGGTAACTGAAAATTGGAAGTTGTGCAATTATAATTTTATAAATTTCTATGTAAATTTGAGTAAAATTTTCAGTGAGATGTGGATTTCTTACCTTGAAATTTTAAGTTTTAAAAAATGTTGTTATACTGTATTTCTGTTGGAACTTAGTTTTAAGATGAAATACTCTAAACATGTACAACTTTGGAGGCTATTTAGCCTTTTATATATATGTGTGCATATGTAAATGTTTTTATAAATACTTTTTTTTATCATTTCTCATGCCAGCATATCATTCAACAGTTTGTGTAATGATTGCTTTTGTGGTTTTACATTGCCACTAGATTTTTAAAAAATCATTGCTGATGTACTATAAATCCCTTTCTACATATAGATTCTGTATATTGTTTCTTAGAGATAAGTCTCCAAGAATGTAGTTAACATTTTCAAAAACAAATATGTAACAAATACTGCAAATAGTACTGTATATGTTGAAAGGATGTAAAAGTTTTGTTTGTTCTTTTCTAATTCATATGGAAATTTATTTATTAAAAATTATTTTCCTTTTCTTTATTTCAGACCAGTCTATCCATATGGGGATGGGGAAGCCTTGGCATTGTCCTTTCTCTAATAACCTTTGGACCCTTTGTAATATTTTATTTGGCATTTTATATCCTCTGCTTTGTGGGTGGGTAAGTATTCTCAAAGATAATCTTATAATTGCTATGTCATACTCTGTTGTTAAAAATTGAAACAAATGACCATGAGACCTCAAGAAGAAGAAAAAAATGACCATGAGAAATGGAAGTATGGTTTGTGAATGCTCTTTTTTGCAAATTATTTTTTACCAAAGTTAAATGAAATAAAATTAAGATACCTGATAAAATAAAAGCAATGTAATGGGGACACCTGGGTGGCTCAGTCGGTTGAGCATCCGACTTTGGCTTAGGTCATCATCTCCCAGTTCGTGAGTTCGAGCCCTGTGTCGGGCTCTGTGCTGACAGCTCAGAGCCTGGATCCTGGTTTGGATTCTGTGTCTCCTCTCTCTCTATCCCTCCGTCCCCCCCCCCATTCGTGCTTGTGTGCGCTCTCTGTCTCTCTCTCAAAAATAAACATTAAAAAAAAAAGCAATGGTGATTGTAATTTGTATCAGAAATATGCGTAATCATTTTCAAAAAGCTTTCAATTTCCAATGATATAAACTTTTTGTGTAATTTGACAGTTTTAAAGATTTTTTATTCCTTTTGGTGTTATTACCTTTTAGGAGTGAAAAAATTTTAAATCTATTAATAAGTTATATTGAGATGATTCAAGTTTTATATAGTATAGAAGATACTGTTTCATTGATTAGACTTCAAACAATGTTAATTTCCCTTTGGGAATGCTGTTACTTTGTTATAGAAGATTCAAACAACCGATTTTGCCTTTTTCTCTTCATGTTTGTTTGGTTAACAGTGTTTATGCTTTACCTTGAATTGATAATCCTTTACAAGAGAGGTTTCAGTCATGATTTAGTATAGCTTCCTATATGGAGCATTTGGTATCAGATGTGAGTTGTATATGAGAAAATCTATAGAAAACAGAGGTAGATGCTTGTTATTTAGATACTCAAACCAAGGTCGCTTAGCTGAGTATTTTGTTGTTACTATGTGTGTGTGAATGTACATATATGTTTGTGTGTGTGTCTGTATTTTTAAGATACATTTATGTAATTGTGGAATGAATACCTTTGAGTTCTTTTTTTTTTTTTTTTTT